ACACACACACACACAAAACCAGATACACCCACAAATATACAAGCATACAACCAGATACACAACACACACACACACAACCAGATACACCCATAAATATACAAGCATACAACCAGATACACAACATGCATACACAAACACACCAACATACACACACACACACGTACAACCAGACACACCCACACACACAAATAAACACATTTAAAGACACACATGCAACCAGAAACGCAACACACACACAAGCACACAACCACATACACATACAAATATACACTCAAAAACACGCATACAACCAGAAACAAAACATACACATACAAAAACACAGACATGTACATTCAACCAAACACACAACCATAAACGCATACAACCAGACATGCACACAAATATACACACTCAATACAACCAGATACACAACATACACACACAAACACATACATTTAACCAAACACACGGACACAGACACACACACACACACACACACACACACACACACACACAAACAAACTTGTAAACGCGTTACCAGATACCCTAACTTGCCTAATTAACCTAGTTAAGCCTTTAAATGCCACTTTAAGCTGTATAGAAGTGTCTTGAAGAATATCTAGTCTAATATTATTTATTGTCATCATGACAAAGATCAAAGAAATCCGTTATTAGTAGTGAGTTATTAAAGCGTATGTAATAACAGCACTTGGGACGCACATAAAAAATCTTAACATCTCCAAGGAGAGGCTAATAATTCTGTTTGTAAATGCGTTGTTGTGTGTTTCAGAGCTCCAATGACACGTTCCCCACAGCCATGCACATCGCTGCTGCTAAAGAGGTTCACGAGGTGCTCCTGCCGGGCCTTCAGACGCTTCATGATGCTCTCGCTGCCAAAGCTGAACAGTTTAAAGACATCATAAAGATCGGCCGCACACACACACAGGACGCCGTGCCGCTCTCGCTCGGACAGGTACAACTACACGCACACACACACACACACACACACACACACACACACACACACACACACACACAACAGAAATCACTCATCCAAAAACGATACATTTTAGGCCAAACATGGAGCTGGCATAAGCTCTAACTTTAACCAGTATCCCCATCAGACGACTCTGTTCCACCTCTCCACTGAACAGAGCCTCTCCACCTTATGAATGGTTCCCAAATTGACGTTTCTTATTCTGTAAATGGTACCGTATTCATTGTAAATGGAGTGTCTTTTTGTTGAGTTTTACTGAGCCACAACTTGAAAGAGGTAGACCCACTGGGCACAGATTGACTGTAAATGGTTATGTGTGTGTGTTTGTGCAGGAGTTTGGCGGGTACGTGCAGCAGGTGAAGTACAGTATTGCGCGCGTGAAAGCGTCTCTGCCGCGTGTGTATGAGCTGGCAGCAGGAGGAACCGCAGTCGGCACTGGACTCAACACACGCATCGGCTTTGCAGAGAAGGTGGCAGATAAAGTGTCTGCACTTACAGGTAGGCATGGGACAGTGTAAGATTCTGACGATTTGATAACCATAGACAAAGATATCAAAGTACTGCTCTGAAATATCTTCTTTTTAAATATCTGGATAGAAAACAGCAACGTTTTCCCCATTGAACACAATATATTTTATTTTAAGCAACATTTAAAATATTTTGGCAGAGCAAACCTATCAGGCTAATGGACTTCTGCTGTCTTCATTAGTTTCAAAAACACTGATTTCTTGAAAAGGCATTTTTGGAGATCTTTTGTTTCTGTGGATATGAAGGGCCCTATCAAACACCCGGCGCAGTGTGGCGCAAGGCGCGGCGCAATAGTAGTTTGCTAGTTTCAGCTTGGCGCAAGAGTCGTTTTGAGGCTATGCACCACACTGTTTAAATAGCAAATGCATTAGCGCTCATATGTGCGTCCATAGACGTTCTGCTCTATAAAGGAAGGCGTTCTGAGGCGGACCGCTGGCGCGTTGCTATTTTGAGAAACTATGATAGATTTTTCATTAAACCAAAACTAACCCGGTC